CTACAAGCCTCCGGAGGGTGGGGTTTTCAGATTTACAATCACAAAAAGCCGCTCTAAACCCCCTCATTTTTGTTTTTTTAAAAGCCGGGTTCCGTATTGGAAAATTTTCCCAAAAATTCCGCTAGTTGAGCGATTGTGTTTATCAAAATTGTGAAATATTTCAGTGAAGTTAGTACAATTCTGGAGGACCTCGAATTCCTCCCTGGCTTCATTGAGCGGACTGCAGTCAAAGGTTTGATGAAGATAGTGATCAATTTGACCACATCTACAAAAATCGTTGGGGAAACTTTCCATTATGGCCGTTCGGTAAAGGTGCGGGGGCGAAGGGAGAGTGGGCGTGGCACCTCCAACCGACCTTTTTGGAAAGGGCATGAACCGCTATTGACAAAAATGCAACCCCCGACCACCTAGGCCCCCTATGGTTTCCTACGGACCACTTAGAAAAATGGCCAAAAATCGCAATTTTTACTTGCGTCCACAGTATTTTTGTGTAGAATTCCTTTCCGCGTAGGCGGCCCTCGGCCGCGCTTAGGGATTATAACCCGAATTTTTGCAAAAAAATCGAAGTTAAATCCTAATTCCATTCCCCTTCAAACAGCGAGCGAGTGTGGACGAGTCTTGCGCATAATCTAGTGGATTTCTTTTGGCGCCTACAACTTATACTTTTAGTTTTCTACAGTGAAGTACAGCAAAGGCCATACGCATAGCGGTATAGGCCAAAAAACAGCTTCTGATTTCGTTAATTTTCTCATTAATTATCAACCACCAAAAGGATAGACGTTTTTACAGGTGAGTGATTTTGCATTTTTCGTGAGGTGTGGAAAATCTTTTTTCTGTTGATAGTGGTTTTTTTACAAGTGAAAACCTGCCGCATACGGCAGTAAAAAGAAAAGCCGCGTCGAAGACGCCAACGGCTGAAAAATTTGAGGCTTTCTCGAGCGCTAACCTTGCTAGAGGCATGAAGTTCAAGAAAAATACGCAAGAGAAAATAGTGAAATATCTAAAGACGCATGATTTGGCAGAGATAAAAGCTGAAATGGGTGCCATAGGTGAAGTCAATTTTGATGAAAATGTGCGTGATGATGAAATGGTAGGCGACGCCGATGCGTCAAACGGAAACATAACGGACGACACAGTACCGCTATGTGCGCCCGATGGTACACATAGTGCAAGTACAGTGGAGGAAAAAAATGATACGGTGATTTTAAACGATGTACAATTATATCCGCCAAATTTTTCTGGCATAATTCTTGCTCTAGTAGACTCATCTGAGTGCAAAGACATGCAAAATGATAGAAGAACAAATGGCTTGACCCTTTTCACTAAAATTAAGCATTTGAATATTAAAGATATAGACTTTATACAGTCAATTGGCAAAACCCTCTACAAAGTTACCTTTAAAAACTGCGCATCTGCAAACAATTTTATTTTAAACAAGAAGATCAGTGATCTAGGGCTGAGACCCTTCATTCCAAAAACCGCATTGGAGTCATACGGTGTCGTTAGAGGCATCCCCACTTCTTACACCGATTCTCAGATCATGGCCAACGCCATATCCAGCGCCCCGATTAGGTCAGTGAAACGTTTTTCTAGAAAGTTGGAGGACAATACCTATTCCCCTACAACCACGATCAAGTTAGGCTTTGCTGGAAAGGAAGTTCCTAAGTACATCATCCTAGACTATACGAAACTATATGTTGATTTTTTCATACCACCTTTAAGGCAGTGCATGAATTGTGGTAGGCTAGGGCATACCCAATTCTCATGCAAGTCCAAAAAGAGGTGCATCATGTGTGGTGAAGGCAGTTGTGAGGAGAGCTCATGCAGGAAAAGGTGCATTCTGTGCGGCAGCACTGAACACTCATCTTCAGACAAAACCAAGTGCCCAACATGGGAGAAGGAAGCTATGGTAAATCATATTAGGGCAGTGAAAAAAATTTCTAGGAGAGAAACTCTTCAGACATATTTTCCAAATGTACAGAATCAATTTGACATTTTGGCTGCAGACGATGCAGATTTTCCGGCACTATCACGCGATAGCAACACGAAAAATAGACACTAGCGTCAACAGAAGGATGACCAAAATTAAATACAGCTGGGTAGCTAATAAAGCAAATGCAACGCAGGCTAGGAGTAGTAGGACGGTTGAGAGGTCCAGGGACATACGTGACAGAATAGAAACAACTCCGGTGTTCGATAAACCAGAATATGTTAAAAACAAAGTTACAGAGATGGAGAGGATACTTAGCGACCTCGTCAAGATTACCCAGACCCTCTGCATTAATGAGCAGCTGAGCAAACCACTTACCGAAATTTTACAACTTAAACAAAAATTTGAACAAATAATAATACAGGACGAGTTAGAAATTATGAAGCAAGGGTGCAGTGTGCCCCACAGAGTGTATGATGAAGATCCTACAACACAACTGTCAATCACTTAATGCGAATATTGACACAACTGAATTTTTTCTAAATCAGTACAACTATGACATAGCTGTTTTGAGTGAAATTTTTAGTTCTAACGAACAACCCCACAGAAACATTATAGATTTTAACATAATTGAGAAAAATAGAGATGACGGATATGGTGGTGTAGCCATAGTCCTAAAGAAAAGAATAAAATTTCGTAAACTGTCTTTTAACTCTGAACTTGACATACTGACTATTCAAACGAAAAACCTTAAACCGAATTTAGTACTTTGCGCAACCTACTTCCCACAAACAATACCCATTGAACTCTTTAAAAATGAGATGAACAGACTGTTAACCTTTCTAGAAAACTTTGAAAATGTCCTAATACTAGGGGACTTCAATGCGAGAGCCAGAGTATGGGGGGGATCAGATAACTACCTGTCGAGGAAACAATCTGCATAAAATCATAGCTGAGTTCAACTTCTGGGCATTGAATGATGGGTCAATTACTTTTAAAAACAATCTAGCTCTCCCTAGTGGGTCTGTTTTAGATCTATCCTTTTCCAACAGCAGACTATCCTTTAGATGGAAAACTGACCCTATTAGAATAGGGGGCAGTTACCATTTTCCAATAACAATCGAAAACAGCACAATTGAAAACATCTCGCCCAGGTTTCTAGCTAAACACAAACTTATGAGAGAGTTAGAACATCTCAACTTACCCCCTAATGTGAATGATATTCATCACAAATTCGAGGAAGAGTTAAACGCGGCCACCTATTCCATTCAAGGAAATAGGTGTCCAAAAGGATAGTAGAATGACTCACTAATGAAGAGTTTCAGATTCCTAAAAATTGCCTATAAAAAGTGCAAAACAGAACCCACTCCACCAAACTTTCAAAATTTGCTTGACATAAAAGAAGACTGGAAGAATCAGGTTAAAGAAGCGAAAAAGAAACAATTTCAAAAAAGGATAGATCAACTTAACGAGGACCCAACCACAAAAGAAGCATGGCGGTTCGTCAAAGCGATGAGAGGTGACTTTAAAACTAATAATAGGGGATCCTGGTCAGATGCAAATAATCTTAACTATCTTCATCATCTAAAAATTCAAGTCCCAGTATCTACCCACAACTTGCCAATCAATCAGGAGATAAGGCCTGCAAATGCACTAGCCATATCGTTTGAGGAACTACATGATGTATTACAAAAAAAAAAGGGAAACTCAGCGGGGGGTGCTGACCGAATAACATACAGCATGCTTAAAGCCCTACCAGATCATTCATTATCCGCACAATGTTAAACGCCGTTTTTTTGACCAATCAGATTCCGGAAAGGTGGCGTACAATTAGTGTAGTGCCCATCCCTAAAAGAGACAAGAACCTAACTTTAGACCAATAGCTCTCCTGCCAGTGTTTCTAAAATGTATAAACTTGGTAATAAAAGACAGGATTTCCAATTTTGTAGAAGAATCCCAACTGCTACCATCTCGCTCTTTCGCTTATAGAAAGAAAAAATCCGCCACCGTCTGCATCAACTATATGTTACATGATCTTGCCATACTCAAAAACCAAGGCTTAAAAACTATTATCTTATCAACTGACATCAGTAATGCTTATAACTGTGTCAGTCTGGTACAACTTAAAACAGTCATGACTAGTATCGGTTTACATCCGACTTACATTGAATTTATTTCCAACTTTTTGGCTTTAAGAAAATTGGTTCTGGGGGTGGACACCATTGATATAAATGATGGCCTCCCACAAGGAAGCTGTCTCTCACCCCTGCTATTCAACATTTACACAAAACAACTACACTCCATTGAAGACACCAATACCAAAGTGTATCAATTTGCGGACGACTTCGTATTGATGTCGTCTCATCACAATCTAGATAAGGCGGTTCTCAATCTACAGGAAAAAATTAACAACTTTTCAAACCTTTGTAACAATCTAAATCTATCTTTCACCTCAGACAAGACTAAAGTCATGTACTTCTCCAAAGGCAACAAAAAACCCATCAATATAATGTTTCAAAATCAAAGACTAGAGCTGGTCAACGCTCTTAAATTCCTGGGCAGGCATATCAGTGCGTCATTGGCTGTTAGCGAACACTATAATGATGTACTTAAAAAATCGCAAAGAAACTCAAATCTGTTTAAGTGCATAACCACTGTAAGAGCAGGTCTTCATCCAAAGGTTGCCATCAACTACTACCGCACCATAGTGAGAAGTAAGATAGAATACAGCAGATCCTCCATGTCAAATTGTGCCAAAACAACAAATAAAAAGATCCAAACATACCAGAATAGTTTTTTAAGAAGAAGTATTGGCTTAAACCCCTCTACACCAGGTCCCCTCATTTATGCGGTAGCAAATGAACTCCCACCTGCCGAAAGAGCCTATTGGCTCACTGCAAAAGAGCTAATTACCAACATCACCTTTGATGAATCTCTCAAAGAGCAACTATTCAATGGTCCCATTGTGAACTCCAGTTATAGCTTCATTTTCAATAAATTTAGACACATCTTTGACAACCTCAGGACAACTGATCAACCTGTTGCTTATAACTCTAGGCTTAGTATAATTACTAAAACCCTCTATAACAAAAAATCTGATGTTCCTAGTGAAACTATCAGAACCATTTATAGACAAATGGTTCATGATTATGACTTGACTGGTTACAAAATCTTCTATACTGACGCCTCAGTTGGCGGTGTAGCCACTGGAGTAGCAATTTACAACTATTCTGACAAAACTAAACAATCCTTCAAGCTGAACTTTAAATCTTCCTCCAGTTTTGGAGAAACCTTAGCGATCTTAAAAGCCATACAGCAGGCTAAACTACACAATCATAGAAAAATAGTAATTTTCACGGACAGTCTAGTGGCATGTTTATTATTAAGCAAAAAAAGAACTCAAAACTATATCATCTGTGCTATTCATAAAACTATACTGGAAGCAGACTTTGACAGGGTGACCATAATATGGACACCAAGCCATAAGGGGATTCCTGGCAACGAAACGGCCGATGAACTAGCCAAGGATGCACTCAATTCTGATGATGAAACACATGTCAACCTTACTAATGAGCAGGCCCTAAGAAGTATCAAAAATGAAATTTATCACAAATGGTATGAAGATTTTCTAGCGTACTCAGCCCTCAAACCAAACCTCTTTTCGCAGATCTTCCCATGCGTATCAAAGAAAGCATGGTTCCACAACTCCTACTTAGGTGCCAAAGAGACCAAAATAATCAACCGCATTCTCACTGGATGCACTTACGACAGCGAATATCCCTACAGAATCAAAGCCAGGAACTCGAATATATGTAGATGTGGCATGCAAGATAGCTACATACATCAAACATTCCACTGCTCCTTTTTAAACAGCGCTCGGGAGGGCCTCGAAATCTTTCAAGATGGTGCCAACTTCCATGACATCCTTCACGATCTCAACCACAGCAAAATCACTCAACTTGCCAATTTTTTTCAAAAAGCTGAAATTAAATTTTAATTTTAACATCATTTCGTCCCCTCAATATAACAATAGCGTATAATTTTTTTGGGGTTTTGAGAAAATCGAGTTTAAAGTTTTTGTTTTTTTTTGTTTGAAGGAAATTTTTGAACAAGAAATTATACACCATTTTTTCCAATGACATTTTGACCCACTTTGTGGAAGTAGAATTTGACGAAATTTTGACCAGACATAGAATCAATGATGGAGATTCTAAATATACAATAAAAAAATAATGGCGTATGAGCACATACGCTATTGTTATATTGAGGGGACGATATCATACATTTTATTTTATACACCTCATTATAAGTTTATCGGTGGTTCAGTACCGTCCACCGAACTCATTTCCCCTCCCCGTACCATCTCCCGTATCACTTTTTATATAATTGCTATTAAAACCGCGCGACATAAGTGTTACACTCGTTCAACCTTCAAGCCAATTTAACATATTGAACGAGCATTCCCTGCATTCAACAATCCACATTCGGATTCTGACAACGGGCGAGAGTGGTTCGGTCGCGGCTTTTGATCCATCGGCTATCACCCACGTTTTTCTGAAAATAAATTTTGTGCTTCTTCTACTGGCAAGTTAACAAGGCTTTTTGAGTGGTTGTTTTTCCTTTGTTTTGTTCTGCGCTTGGCAGTTCTAGCATACTGCGCATTAAAACCCCTACTCATAATTTAACGTCGCGTTTAATTTAACTAAATAATTGGGAGCAGTTTTAATAAATCAGGTGAGTGATCTTGGTTTCTCTTCTAGCTGGGGCGTTCCCCCAGTCGTATACTTTTTAAAATATAAAAAGTCTTCTCATAGTGCCTCTTAAAAAGAATAAAAAGCTTAAGCTGCCGCTCGCGGCACTAAGCAAACCCAAGAAAATGGAGCGGACTCCGCAGTCGATGATTCCTGAAATCACTGATGCGGATGCTGGTGCTACAAAAAAATTTAAAATTATGGACAACGTAGAAGTGACGGGTTTTTACGAGCTCTCCAAAAATGGAGGACTGGTAAAGATGACTGAGGTAATGGGTGATGTTGTAAGTGATTCTGCTGAAGCCATGGCGTGTGAAAATGCTGAAAATGGCGGGAAAGTGTCGTGTCAAAATGTGCAAATGGGCGGGAAAGGCAACTGTGCTTTTTCAACCAATGACGAATGTCGCGATAATCGCGCGCAAAAAGAAAATGTTTCTACTGTTTACCCGCCAAATTTTGGAGAAATCTTTGTGTTGGTTGACTCTTCAGAGTGCCCTAACATGAAAAATGAAAAATTCACTACAGGACTGACACTTTTTGGTCAGATAAAAGACCTAAGATTCAAAGACATTGACTTTATAAAGGCGGTCGGCCGTACTTTATACAAAGTTATTTTCAAAAACGCATATGCGGCAAACACGTTTTTAATGGACAACAAAATTAAAAAAAGAGGATTAAAAGCCTTTATTCCCAGAACTGCGCTAGACCTGCTTCCATGAAAATGAAATTGTGGCTGAGGCTAAGTCCACTATACCCATAATGTCTGTATATCGTTTTTCCCGCAAAGATGCCTCTTCTGGTTCGATTGTGTTGAGTACTCGAACACAGCACTCAGCCCTATCTATCGATAACATTCGTAGCTATGTAAGAAAATCTCTCTTCTCTATATATCGTTCAATAAAGCTGTAAGCATAAAATTTAACCTCGTGCATATTTATTTATATAAAGAGTAATCCAGCTCTGCTGAAGTAATCTTCAACTATTCCAACAAACGCTTCCACTGCGCTGCAACGCAAAATCGAACCTAAACATAAGAAAGTTATATTTATCAAAAATAATGAAAGCGAAACTGAAAATGGCGGAAAAAGAAATATGGCCCGTCTTGACAGAGAAAACCAACTTTAATAATTGGAAGTTTAGAATCCAATTGATATTAGAAGAAAAGGCGATAGCATATACATTAACAGAAGAGGAAACGCAAAATAATAGCGTAAAATTTAGAAAGGATGATGCGACAGCGCGGTCGATCATTGTAAAGTGTCTGAGTGACAAACATCTGGAAATCATAAAATCATGCAACAATGCAAAAGAAATGCTAAAGCACCTTAAAGAAGTGTTTGAACGTAAAGCATTTACAACAGGCTTCATCTCAAAAAGAGATTAATAACAATACGGTGCGGTGAAAATGAAAAGTTGCAAGATTTCTACTGTAGGTTCGATGCCGCTGTAAGTGATTTAATTGCGATAGGATGCACAATATCAGAAGAGGATCAGGTGTGCCAACTACTGTCCGCAATGCCATCGGCATACGAACTAGTAATAACATCATTGGAAACGCTATCCACAGATAAACAATTAACACTTGAGTTTACGAAAGCGAGACTCCTTGACGCAGAGATAAAGATAACTACAACAATTAAACCAGAGGCAGGTATAAACGCAGCATTTTTATGCTATACATGTAACAAGCCAGGGCACAAGGCAGCGGAATGTCAACAACAGCGTAGTCGTTACTGGAGCGGAAATAATGGACGTGGCAAATACAATCAAAGGCAGCATAGACCACAAGCACGAGCAGCACAACATAATGTCAGTAGAAATGTGGGAAGAGGAAGAAACAATAACAATACGCCAGGAAGAAATTATCATTACGGCAATGCAGCACGAGAAGAAAGTGAGTATGAGGTATCGTTCACAGCTCATGACACGAGTAGCGTACATAAAGACTTAAATAGTAGTACTATACGTTTTGTTATAGATTCGGGTGCGACCGAAAATTTAATTCAAAGTAAATATAAAAAGTATATAAGAAATTTAGAAACTCTAGAGAACGAAATAAAAATATATGTAGCAAACGGTCAGTACTTAGTAGCTAAGGAAAAGGGTTGCCTGGTAGTAAAATACAATAATACGATTGTGAAAATTAATGGTTTAGTTGTCCAAGGGCTGTCACATAATTTAATATCGGTACAAAAACTAATAGAAAATAAATACCATGTAAAATTTTCAAACAATTCTGTAAGTATTTATGATCAAAAATGTAAAATGAATGCAGAAAGGATAGGAAAGCTTTATACCATTTATCTTAAACTTAACTTACAGCATGCAATGTTAAGTAGCACAAACAAATCTGCTAATGACGGCAATGACTTGTGGCACCGACGTCTGGGACATGCAAATAGAAGGCACCTGCAAATATTGAATTTACCATATTCTAATGAGACATGTGGACCGTGTATGGAGGGAAAGGTCAACTCGTTTGCCATTCAATCAGTCAATGAAACCGAGATCAAAGTATGTTGGAGAACTGTTGCACACAGACCTTTCAGGTCCTGTTAAAAATCCAACAATAAACGGAGAGAGGTATTATCACACAATCATAGATGACTATAGTCATTTCACTGTAGTATATCTGCTTACTAAGAAAAATGAGGCTACAGATACTATTATCAAATACATAAAATTTTTAAAAACACAAACAGGCAATAAAACTAAAAAGATTAGATGCGACAATGGCGGAGAATTTAAAAATTATATACTAACAAACTTTTGCGATAATAAAGGTATTCAAATACAATATACAAATGCATATTCTCCTCAGTCCAACGGGGTAGCAGAAAGGATGAACCGTACGATTTACAACAAAGCGAGAACACTAATGTTAGAAACTGGATTACCTAAGCATTTGTGGAGAGAAGCTGTCAGATGTGCAGTTTATCAAATAAATAGGTGTCCATCATCCGCAATAAACTTCAAAATACCAGCGCAGTTGAGATATGGAAAATATAATATATCTAATCTGAAAGTATTTGGTTCAAAAGCATGGGTTATGCAAATACCCAAAGTCAGTAAATTCGAAAATAGGGCAAAAGAAATGAGATTTATTGGTTACTCAATGAATGGATACCGATTCTGGGATCCTAGAGAAAATGAAGTAGTTTGTTCAAGAGACGCTAGATTTGATGAAACCCAAACTAAATATTTAGAAGAAAAAGAAAAGAAGATAGCGACCCATATAGTTTTAAAATAGTAAACAGTGACGAACAAGAAGAAGAACCAAATGACTGTGAAGTCAGAAATGAAATAGAAAGGGTTGAACAAGAAGAAAACAAAAACCAAATGACTGAGACAGAAAATGAAAGAAGAGATGTCACAACAAATCAAGTAGAAACGCAAAACATAGTAAGAACAAAATCAGGACGAATAGTAAAGCAACCAAAATACCTACAGCAAAACTATGAAACACAACCTGAACAGAGTATCGAAGAGCAAATAAATGTAGCATATTGCCTATTAACAGGAGAACCGCAAAACTTCGAAGAAGCAATAAAAAGTAAAGAAAGGAAAAAAGCTATAAAAGTTGAACTGAATGCCCACACAAAATTGGAAACATGGAGAGAAGCAACTCTACCAACAGGAGCAAAAGCAATTGACACAAAATGGATTTTTAAAGAAAAACAAGATGGAACAAAAAAGGCAAGAATTGTAGCAAAAGGATTTCAGCAAAGTCAACCATACCAGAAATACTATTCACCGGTTGCAAGAGCAACAACAATAAGAACTTTACTAAGTCACGCAATACAGCAAAATCTTAAATTAAAACAATTGGACGTACCAACCGCATTCCTAAATGGGACATTAGAAAATGATATTTATATAAAATGCCCTAAAGGTTTAAAGTTAAAAAATGGAAATGTTATGAAACTGAACAAAGCTCTATATGGTCTCAAAGAAGCACCTAAATGCTGGAATTTAAGATTCCATGATTTTATGATAAATAACTCGTTTGAACAGTCAAAGCATGATTTTTGTCTTTACCTAAGCGAAAAAACGTGGGTACTTATATACGTAGATGACATATTAATTTTGGGTGAAGATACAGAAATATTATCTAAATTGAAAAACGAATTTAAAGTCAAAGACCTAGGAGAAATTCGAGAATATTTGGGGCTCGAAATATCAAGAAAAAATGAAANAATTTTGGGTGAAGATATAGAAATATTA